CAGTTTCTCACGTTTCGATGATAGTTTCTCACGTTTCGATGATAGTTTCTCACGTTTCGACGATAGTTTCTCACGTTTCGATGATAGATTCTCACGTTCCGATGATAGATTCTTTGCGTAATTTAACATGTTTTTTTCTTTTTTTTTCTTTTAATATTATGGTAGATTCAGCTGAATGTCAACATGCAAATAATAGACGATAATTGTTGCAAAGATGAACGATGTCGCATGACGTTACTTCCAAGTTCATCCTTATCAACTTCAACCAACTTCTATGTACCAGTGACAACCGTAAATATGCAACCGAATCACATTATTCATAACTCATATGTTCAATATTACGATGAGAAAGATAATGGTAATGATGATGATAATGGTGATTATGATGATGGTGATAATGATGATGATGATGATGATGATGGTGATGGTGATGGTGATGGTGATGATGGCAATGATAGTAATGATAATATTGGTGATAATATCAGAAACAAAAAAATGAAGCATAATGCTAATGGAGTTTTTTTCGGTTCAACCTATCATTATTTACAAATTGATCGAAATTCGATCAATATTTTATTGAAAGTTGCTGCTGCTTTTGTATTGTTATGTATTGCGGGTTGTTTGGTACTTCAACATCTAAGGATCAATCGATTAGATTATCGAATTCGACGAATTGAAATTAATTCAGCTTATTCTATACAGGTATAAACTTCTTTTTTCTTCTAATTATTTTAATTGTTGATCCTTTTCTTTCAAAATTCTCTCTTGCTAAGAATTTTTATGAAACTATAAATTAAAACTAACAAAACTTGAAAATTTAAATACCTTTTCTTGAAAAATTTTATTAAATGCTTAGCTGAAAAGAACTATGCAATCAAATATGCTGTAATATATTAGTAATTAATATCAAATAATGAATAAATATGAAAAGAAATGAAATATGTGACATTTTTATTTGATAAGAAATTTAACGGATAATTAATCAAAGTAATTTTTATTGAAAAATTTATTCAATAATATTAAATTAAAATCTGATTGATTAAATTACTGCTAATATTGTCAATTATTAATTTTACAATGTTTTATCCATAATGATAAAAAATTTTCCATCTCAATTGAATTGATTTGAATCATAATTGACTGAAATTTTCCGAATGAAAAAAGTAGCAATTTAAATTTTTATGAAATAATGAAATTTTACCAAAATTGTGTAAAATAAGTAATTCATTAAAACAAAATTATTTAGCTTTCTAGAGATTTTAAACCACAAAGTGTAAATTTTGAAATTAAAATTTTTTTAAATTTACAAGTGAAGTGGTCTAAAGCATATAAAACTTTTGTATATTTCAAAATTCAAATTCGAAAATTTGTTTTAAAGTTCTTTATTTTTAAATGAAGCTATTTCATGCCATCTCTTCCTTCATTTTTTTTTTTATTTTTTTCTTCTAATTCACTTTAATTTTATTTACCGTTCTAAAGGGAAAATGAATGTATAATGAATACTTCAGCCAGCATGTAATTTAGCAGTTTTTCATTTTCTTCTTTTTGTTATTTTAATCAAATTTATTTTTGTTAAATTAAAGATGAAAAAATTCCAAATTTAAATATCATATCGAAATTAAAAGAAATTACTTTGGAAATCGTTTTTAACACTCATTTAATAATAATTTCTCTTCATTTATCCAAAATCTTTGTATACTTTCAATGTGTAAATAATGTAAACAAAACTAAAAATTCTTTTCCTCAATTTTTTTTTCTTTTTACACTTCGCTAATGATTGTTGAACGAAAGTTTTTGAAATTTTACACCGCTGAAAATGAAAACCAAGCATACTTGTAATGGATTGACAAGGAAAAAAAAGGGAAGAATTTGTATTTTTGATCCTATACAAATTAATTAATTAATTATTAAAATCAAAAAAATAATTGAAAGTTATTTGAAACCAAAAAAAAGGAAATTTATCATCTAATTTTTTTTTAATTTAAAAAATTTTTTATCAAACATGTAAAAGTAACCATATGAAAATTGATATTGCAAAATAATAAAAAATATCACTAATATTTGCCAACCTATTTTTTTTCTTGAATTTCTTTTATTTTCAAAAAAATTTTAAACTTCATTTAGGATTTAAAAAAATTGGACCAAAAATTGAAAATGAAATTTTTTCCATCCCATTTTCACATAAAATTATTTTTGAATGTATGGATTGATGGAAAATGAAAATGAATAAAATTTAAGAAATAATTTTTTTTCATTTAAAAGAATTTATATGAAGTGATATATTTGATGGTGTGAAAATTATTATTAAATGTTATAATTTCATTTTGTAACAGATAGATCAAAGGATGAATGAAATAGATTCGGGAAATATGAGACAGAAGGAAAAGTTCGAACTAAATGATGTTTAAGAGGAATTTATGTTCAAATAATCCTTTCGAAATTATTGATAAGATCGTTAAAAAAATTCAGTTTAATATGCTTTAAAAATCCGCTTTTTTTTTTTCGTCCACTTTAAAAAAATTTAAGTGGACAGCTATACGAATAGTAATAGGCTGATACAAACTAATTTGTTTAATAATTTTTTTGTTTTTTTAAAAAAAAAAAAAAAAAAAGAAAAAAAA